AAAAAAAAAAAAAGAGTACCATAATTATACAACCATTTGTATAAGTAAAGATAAGTTACAAATAAAAAATTAAGTTACAATAAAGAATAATTAAGGCATGATCAATTTGGGTTTTTGGTTCGTCTTTTTTTTTTTGGTGTGGGGGGGGATTCAAGATAGGGTTTCTAGCTGGGCAGTGGTAGCCTACGCCTTTAATTCCAGCTCTCAGGAGGCAGAGGCTTTTTATGAGTTCAAGGCTAGTCTGGTCTACAAAGGGAGTTCCAGGACAGACTCCAAAGCTACACAGAGAAATCTTATCTCGGAAAAATAAAAAAATAAAATAAAAAACCCACAGGGTTCCTCTGCTTAGCCTGTGCTGTTGAATTTGCAGAGACCAGCCTGCCTCGTGCCTTCCGAGTGCTGGCTTTAAACAATTTGCTTTGTTGCTGTTGTTTGTATTTTAGAAACAGAGTCTCTCTACATAACCCTGCCTATCAAGGAACTCGCTTTGTATACCAGACAAGCCTCTAAATTACAGAGATGCCTCTGCCTCTGCGAGCCGGGATTAAAGACCTGTGCCCAAACCCTGTGGTGGTGCATCATTCAGGAGGCAGGGTGGGTGAATCTCTAAGTTTGAGGCCAGCCTGGTCTACAGAGCAAGATCCAGGACAGGCTTCAAAACAATAGAGAAACCCTATCTCGAAAAACCAAACAAAAAAGGCATGTGCCCATTTCTGACCTGACCAGTTTGTAAATTTTGTTCCAGTTGCCCGATTGATCCTTTTGGTAGCGGGTCTTATATCTTCTATGGGTTTATATGGTCAGAGAAGTCATCAAGCCTTCATTCTGGTGACAGTCATGGAGGTCAGTATGGCCGTAGTGATGAGGGAAAGGCAAAGTGCAGAGAACCTCAGAGGAAGGCAATCCTAAACAGAGGTGACCATCATAGGAATGTCAGAAAGATCCAAGAAGGCTCAGTGTGAACATCTCATTAATATGGGGTCTTGCGTCTATTGTCCCAGCACTCAGAAGACTGAGGTAGAAGAACCTATGAGTCCAAGAACTGGGGGCAAAGCCTCATGTTGTCTCTAGACTTTTTTTTTTTATAAATGCAGTGAACCAAGCATGGTGGTGTGCACTGTTAATCCCAGTACTTTGCAGGCAGAGGCAGGCAGATCTCTGAGTTCCTGGCCTGCCTGGTCTACAGAGTGAGTTTCAGGACAACCAGGGCTATGTAGACAGAAAAATGCAGCGTCTGAGACTTTGAACCTGAGAGTAATAGGACAGATATGAGACTCCAGATTTAATGAAGCCTTAACTTTACAGGGATTGCATTTTCCCTAAAGGCCACCTGGTAGATAAACAGAGCCTTAACCACGGCTCCAGAACTGTGCAGCAATACTGCACTTTGAGCAGATCCCCTAAAAATAGGAATAACCCCGTAATTAAGGAGACAGGGAGCAGGGCCATAAAATTTAACAAGGTCCAGATGTTCTTGGGAGGCCTCCTGTCCTTGAAGATACCTTGTCAGTTATTAATGGCTCTTTATTAGGGTTTTCGCACCCCAAAACTGACCAATGGTTTCAGAAACTACCTTACCCTATGCCCTCTTTACCCAATCCCAAAATGACAGGACATGACCTCCCCGGATTATGGCATTTCACTTTTAAAAGTTCTACCTTCCCAGGGTTCCCTGCCACACTTTCTGCACCCCCAATGCTTGAGTGCTGGAAAGGTGTTGGTCCAAACTTGAGTTTGTGTATTAAATCCTCATGTAATTTGCATTGGAAATCCAGCTCCGTGAACTCATTTGGGGACCAGAAACTTGGGCTTAACACAGGAAAAGCGCTGGTAGCTGGAAAGATTGGCGAAAGTGAGTGGTAGAGATTGCTAGGAAGAACAGGAGAAGTAGAATGTTGTGAAGTCTCTGGAAATAACACAGGGTTCTAAGACAAAGAATGATGATGGGCATGCGGTAATGTGGGAATTTCAGGAGGCTGAGGCTGGAGGATCAGAGGGAATGGCCAGTCTCAATCACCTAGTGAATTAGAAACCACCTGGGCTACAAGAAATTGTTAATTAAAAAATAATAACATGAGGCTGGAGAGGTGGCTCAGAGGTTAAGAGCACTGGCTGCTTTTCCAGAGGTCCTGAGTTCAATTCCCTGCAACTACATGGTAGTTCACAACTACTTGTAATGAGGTCTGGTACCCTCTTCTGGCATTCAGACAGAACACTGCATACATTATAAATAAATCTTAAAAAAAAAATAAAGCCATATGGGGCAGTAGTGGCGCATGCCTTTAATCCCAGCACTCAGGAGGCAGAGACAGGTGGAGCTCTGTGAGTTCAAGGCTAGCCTGATCTACAAGAACTAGTTCCAGGACAGATTCCAAAGCTACAGAGAAACCCTGTCTAGAAAAACAAAACAAAAGTAAATAAGTAAATAAATAAATAAAGTTGTTCTCTGACCTCCACATGTATACCAACCTGGCCAACGTAGTATGTCTCTATCCGGCAGGGGTACACAATGAGACCTTGTCTCAAAAATTTGTACATACACACATACACACAAACATATATAGTTTTATATAAACATATATAATTATATATATGATTTTTTAGAGATATACAAATAACAAAAATAAACTAAAAACTTAACTGAGTGTATTTGGGGAAGACATTTGAGGAAGAAGAGATTGTTGTCTGTAGGGAATGGTGGTACATGCCTTTAATCCCAGCACTCTGGAGGCACAGGCAGGTGGATTTCTGTGAGTCCAAGGCCAGCTGGGCTACATACTAAGACCTTGACTCATAGAAAGAGGTGGGCCAGGGAGAGGGACTTGTGGGGAGCACACTGTCCTTTGAAGAGCACACAGATTTAAATATAAAGTCTACTCTCAAGGAGAACACACATCACCAAGGCTGAACTGTGGACACAATCACCTCAAATGGGGAAATGATCCAAATAAGATAGTAAGTTAAAGGAAGGAGGAAAAAGTAACAACAATAAAGAAACTAGACTTCCGCCAGGAGAACAAAGTCACTAAGGTACTGAGGACATGTAATCCTTGACATTACAGGAAGCTTGGTGTGTGCCAGTTGTGGTCCAAAACCCACCCTCTCTGAGATAAACAGCAGCCATGATAGTGGGGCAAAATATGGAGGCACATACCTGTAACCCCAGGACTCAGGATGCTGAGGCAGGAAGAAGAAAAAAAAATCAACCAATGGAGGGAATTCTACCAAACAGTTGACTAGTATTTGTGACATCTGGCAAGGTTCTGAAAAGAAGCCGTGTGGTGGTGTCGCACGCCTTTAATCTCAGCACTTAGGAGGCAGAGACAGGCAGATCTCTGTGAGTTGCAGGTCAGCCTGCTCACTCTACAAAGTGAGCTCCAGGACAGGCTCCAAAGCTACAGAGAAATCCTATCTCAAAAGACAAAAAACAAAACAAATGAACAAACAAACCCCAAATACAAAACAACTACGAAAAGAAGTTTCAAGAGATGGCCGGAGATGTAACTGTATATTACAGGAAAAGTAAAGAAATTGGATTGAAGTGTGGATTTTAGTTGTTATCAACAGAGGTTCAGGGATTATAACAAACATATCTTAATAATGTATGCCATGCTACTAGATGAGGCACTATATAGAAACTCTATGACATTCTTAATTCTTCGGGACATCTAATATTGTTCTAAAAAGGCTGGAGAGATGGGTCAATGGTTAAGGACACCTGCTGCGCTTCCAGAGGATCTAGGTTCAATTTCTCAGCATTCACAATGTGGTTCACAACCATCTGTAACTTCAGTTCTAGAAAATCCAAATGACTTTTTTTTTCCTTTTCGAGACAGGGTTTCTCTGTAGCTTTGGATCCTGTCCTGGAACTAGCTCTTGTAGACCAGGTTGGCCTCAAACTCACAGAGATCTGCCTGCCTCTGCCTCCCAAGTGCTGGGATTAATGGTGTGCGCCACCACCGACCGGCCAAATCCAATGACTGACAGGCACCAGGTGCTTATGTAGTACACGTACATACATACAGGCAAAAAACAAACAAAAAACATACTTATAAATTAATAAACATTTAAAAATAGATACAATTCCATTTATTTATTTATTTATTTTAGATTTTTTTTTTCAAGACAGGGTTTCTCTGTAGTTTTTGGTGCCTGTCCTGGAACTAGCTCTTGTAGACCAGGCTGGCCTCGAACTCATAGAGATCTACCTGCCTCTGCCTCCCAAGTGCTGGGATTTAAAGGCGTGCACCACCACTGCCCTTTATTGTGTATACATCATTCTGCCTCCGTGTATGCCCGTAAACCAGAAGATTGTGAGCCACCATGTGGTTGCTGGGAATTGAACTCAGGACCTCTGGAAGAGCAGCCAGTGCTCTTAACCACTGAGCCATCTCTCCAGCCCTCCTTTTTTGTTTTTTATAACTGCTAGTTTTGTTTTTCAAAATAGAATATTATGTACCCCAGGTTGGCCCTTGAACTTACTGTGTAGCCAGTGATGACCTTGAATGTTTGATCCTCCTGCTCCCACTTCCCAAGTGCTAAGATTACAGATATAAACCATGCTTAATGTTTGTGTGTGAGTATGTATGTGAATTTGTATTTTTACTGTTGTATTGTTTTGTTTGAAGAAGGGTCTCACTGGGTAAGTGAGTGCCAAGAGAGGCTCCAGCCAGGTGGTGGTGGTGCACACCTTTAAACCCAGCACGCAGGAGGCAGAGGCAGGCAGATCTCTGTGAGTTTGAGGTCAGCCTGGTCTACAAAGTGAGTTCTAGGACAGCCAGAGCTAAACAGTGAAACCCTGCCTCACAAAACAAAACAAAACACTTTGTGAGTTTGAGGCCAGCCTGGTCTACAAGCGCTAGTTTCAGGACAGGCTCCAAAGCTACAGAAAAACCCTGTCTCGAAAAACAAAACAAACAAACAAAAAAAGATTGATCTTGGCTGAGTGTAGGAAGCCCTATAATCTCAAATAAATGGGGTGTGTCAGATAGAGAAGCCAAAATTATCTTGGCCCATCTTTTAGGCCCTTTAATAGCCATTTACGGTCAACCACTGTCTATGAGCCAGCATCTTGTGAATACCAGTAAAACTCTTGGAATCTAAAAGATTTGCAGACCCAGGCCCCTCCCGATCTCAAAGCCAAGAATGATAACAATGAAATATTGTAAAACATTTCACTGCCTGGTAAAAGAGAACATCTTTGTCTTGTAGAAGAGCTTCCCTTATTTGACGGTTTGACCTATCTTCTTTTGGGAGTATAAAAGTTTGTGCAGCCTCTTTCATGGGAAAACTATGTAATTCTGGGTAATTTGAGCTCGTGACAGAGTCACTCATCTTGGCTCAAAGTAAATTTAAAATTTGTAGACTACTTTCCCTTCAAGCCACAAAGGTGACCTGCAGAAAAAAAAGGGCCAACCGAAGAAACACACCTTAATTAGTGCCAACGAAACACACTTTGTCCCTGTAACCAGAGCCAAAGAAATACACCCTGACTCTGAAACCAGAGCCAAAGAAACACACTTTAGCCGTAGAATCAAAGAAAGAAATAGGCCCTGGCCCTGAAATTAGAGCCAAAGGCTAAAAAGGCCCAGTGAAAGAAACACATTTTGGCCCTGAAACCAGAGCCAAAACTGTCCCTGGCCAACTAAGTAGAAAAACAGGCAATCCCTATGCACGGAAATGAACCAATCCCTGATCAGAAAACCAAGTAACCCCTGAGCATGAGATCTAGCCTATCTGGGCTTAAGGGACTGAAATCTGATCAATTCCCACCCTAAGAAGCCCTGCACCTGTTGATCAGTTTGCTGCTTCGATCTTCCACCCTGGCAGAGGCAGCCACTCTCCTGGATTCTTTCCTTCCAATACAAATCTTGAATGGGGTTTATGTGAGACCTTCCTTCCTCTGAATGGAGTGGAGGACAGAAGTAACAACTTTTCTCAGGAGCAGAGCACAGTTATAATGCCTTCCCTGGGGAAATCTTCCCCTAGCAGAACCGAGTTGTTAGCCAGGCGGTGGTGGGCGCACACCTTTAATCTCAGCACTCGGGGAGGCAGAGGCAGGCGGATCTCTGTGAGTTCGAGGCCAGCCTGGTCTACAAGAGCTAGTTCCAGGACAGGCTCCAAAGCTACAGAGAAACCCTGTCTCGAGAAGAAGAAGAAAAAAAAAGGATGGAGTTGTTACACTCCAGGGACAGGAGCTGAACTGTAACAACTTGGAAATCTTCTATGGTCAGAACAGAGCTCTTGCATTGGAGAAACCTTTCCCTGGAGTATGGCTGTAAACTGCTAGGCTTACTTTGACCTGTGGTACTCCTTAGCTCCCGACTGCCAGAATACTTTTCCATCGGAGCTGTAACACTTTGTTAGTTCTCCTTGGCTCCCAACTGCCAGGATCCCTTTCCATCCAAGCTGCAATGCACCAACACCACCCAGCTAAATTCAAGAATTTAATACTCTCTCTCTCACACACTCCATTTTAAATTCATGTCTCATTATTATTAAATTCATTTATTATTATTATTATTATTATTATTATTTTGAGATTGTTTCTCTGGCTGTCCTGGGACTCGCTCTGTAGAGAAGGTTGGCCTCAAATTCAGAGATCTGCTTGCCTCTGTTTTCAGGGTGCTACAACTAAAGGAGTGCGCCACCATCTTCTGGGATCTTGTCTTTATTAAATTTTATTTTTGAGGCAAGGTCTCACCGTGTAGCACTGGCTGGTTTGGAACGCGGTATGTAAACCAGAAAGGCCTCGAGCTCACAGAGATCCTTCTGCCTCTGCCTCTAGAGTGCTAGTGTTAAAGGGGTGCTCCACCGGGACTGGCTAAATTTGTGTCTTTGATCAAACTGTTATAACAGCATGTCTTTTTTTTTTTTTTTTTTTTTTTGGCTCACAGAAAGAAGGCAGGAGAGCAGCTGTACCATCTTCAACACACACTATCTCCTTGATGCGTTAAGGAGGAAAGTCGGTTAAAAAGAAATAGTAAAGGGTTCTCAGAAAGCCCCCCTGAGAAATGCCATTCTCTCCAACTGAGCTTTCTTGCTCAGGACTTGGAAAGCCAGCGGAACTCAGGTGTGCGAGGGCAGGGAGGAGGTCGAGCCGACGCACAGAGGACCGCCCAGCTGCGGGGGAACGGTTTGACGGGGACACAGGGCCGCGAGGAGGTTGCCACGATGCTCCCGTCATTGCAGGAATCGCTGGATGGGGATGAAAAGGAGCTGGAGAGCAGCGAGGAGGGTGGCTCTGCGGAGGAGCGGAGACTCGAGCCACCACCCAGCAGCCACTATTGCCTGTACAGCTACCGCGGAAGCAGGTGCCCGCGTCCTGCCTGCTGCGCCCGCTGCCCCGCTGCCCAGCCTTGCACCCCGAAGCCCCCACTCGCCATCTCCTCTCCCAGCCAAGGTCTCTGACCCGATGGGCCCTCCTGGCCTCCATCGGTTCTTCATGGGCCGTCTGGACTTTTATGCCCTGCTCTCCCAAGTCCTCTGCCCTCTTTTAGACCCTGTCACCGCAGCCCGATATCTATTCAGCGCAGTCCTCCTGTTCCCTGCCCTCAGTGGCTGTCCCCAGTTGCGTTTATTTCTACGACACACTTTCATCCCCGCCCTCTAGTTTCCTTGATTCTTGCTGCCTTTCTCTCCCCTCGGTAACCCCTGCCCACCGCGGCTGACTTCCTAGGAGCCCTTCTGGCCCGAAAATTTTTTAAGATGTGTTTTACATTTTTATTTTTAATTATGTGTCTGTGTGTGGGTATTCGCCCACTGAGGCCAGAGGCATCAGACACACAAAGCACTAGAGTTACAGTCGATTGTGAGGTGCCCTAATTGTGTATTGAGAACTAAATTTGGATCCATCCCCAAGAACATTGAGCGCTCTTAACCGCTGAGATATCGCTTCGGGCCTTGTTTGTTTTTTATATTAATTAATTTTTTCTTATTAAAAATTATGTGCGTTGGTCTTTTGCTTGGATGTATGTCTGTGTGAGGGTGTTTGAGCCTTTGGAACAAGGGTTACAGACCATCGTGAGCTGCCATGTGGGTTCTAGGAATCGAATCCAAGTCCTCTGGAAGAGCAGCCAATGCTCTTAACCGCTGAGCCATCTCTCCAGTCCTTAATTTATTTTTAAATAGGAGTTCCTTCAAGCTTTCGGAATATTAGGTCTTCACTTATTAAGTACCCTGAACAGTAAGAGGGCTCTTGTTAGCATTTTCTATGGGGTTTCTTTGCCCTTGCAGCATTTTCATTGATTCCTTGTTTTTACCCGACTCGCACAGACTGGATACTCTACTTGATTTACAGCCCATAACTGATTGTACTGCTTGTTGGATTGCATCTTGCAGATTGACACAGCATCGAGGGGATAGTGATGATGGACATTCTAGTGGAACAAATACAGAAACTCCCTCTGGTGATGATTTCAGGTAAAAACAGTTAAGTATAATCCACTTGTGTGCTTTCATGATCTGTGCATATCTGTAGGTATCAATGGATGGCCTGCTCTTATTGAATTTTCTCTGAGTCAATCATCAGCTCCTCTTAGGAATCCCTCCTTGGCTCTTTCACTCAAGGTAGGTGTACATACAAATACAACGACCCTGTGGTTAGCTCCATAGAATTCTTTTGTGTTTCTTGACTAGATAGAACTCCAGTAAAAATTCAAGATAATATTTCTGTCAAGATATATATTTAAAAATAAAGCGGGAGGGGTGTCTCATGCCTTTGATCCCAGCACTTAGGAGGCAGAGGCAAACGGATCTCTGAGTTTGAGGCCATTATGATCTATAGAACAATTTCCAGAATAGTCAAGACTACACAGAGAAAACAAAACAAAACAAAGCTGGGTGGTGACGGCACACACGTCTTTAATCCCAGCACTTGGGAGGCAGAGGCAGGTGGATCTCTGTGAGTTTGAGGTCAACCTGGTCTACAAAGCAAGTTCCAGGACAGCCAGGACTCTTCTATAGAGAAACCCTGTATCTCAAATCAAAACAACAAAACAAAAACACAAATAAATAAAAACAGCAGCCAAACATGGTGGCATTTACTTGTAATTCCAGCACTTGGGAGGTGGAATGCTGGAAGATTAGACGTTCAGGGTCAGGCTGGGGAGATAGTTCAGTCTATAAAGTGTATAAGGACCCAACTTCAATTCCCAGAATCCAGGTAAAAGCTGAATAGAGTGATGTACTTGTAATCCCAGCCCAGGGTAGGCAGAGAGAGGAGGATCCCTGGATCTTGTTCACCAGCCAGCCTAGCCTAATCCATAAACCCAGGTCCCAGGGAGAGACCCTGCCTCAAAAAAGTAAGGTAGACAGCATCTGAGGAACAGGTTAACTTCTACCCTCTATAAGTATGTGCAGCACATGCACACACAAATGGCCCTATACATGGATATACATGAATATCCATATACATATTCATGTACACACACAGAAGCAGTTGAAGATCATCCTCAGTTACACTGTGAAGCAGACTGAGCTGCATGAGACTAATCTATTTATTTATTTATACCGTATCCTGCCTATAGGCCAGAAGAGGGCACCAGATCTCATTATAGGTGGTTGTGAGCCACCATGTGGTTGCTGGGAATTGAACTCAGGAGCTCTGAAAGAGCAGTAAGTGCTCTTCACCGCTAAGACATCTCTCCAGCCCGAGACTCTAATCTTTAAAAAAAGGAAAAACAATTGGGGCTGGAGAAATGACTCAGTGGTTAAGGGAACTGACTGACTGCTCTTCCAGCACCCACATGGTGGCTCACAACACTAGGTACCTCCAGTTCCAGGAGGCTGATGCCCTCTTCTGGCCTCCACAGACACCAGGCACACATTTGGAACACAAACATGCAGACAAAACACCCCTACACGTAAAATAATAAAACTGAAAAAAAGAAAGGAAGAGTCTAGAGGCATGGCTCAATGGCTAAGAGCACATACTACTTTTCAGAGGACCCAAGTTCAGTTCCCAGCACCCATGTCAGTGGCTCCAGATACAGATTATCTGACACTCTCTTCTGGACTCTGAGGACACCCAGTCACATGTGGTGTGTACTCATACAGATACACAGGTATGCATGCACATACCTAAATAGAAATAGCGATAAAATTTAAAATTATAAAACATCAACAATAAAATAGTTCCAGTGAAAGGGTACAGCAAGTAAAGGTACTCGCTATAGATGAGTTGTTTGATATGCAGAATTCATAAGAGGGAGCCGGGCTGTGGTGGTGCACGCCTTTAATCCCAGCACTCGGGATCTCTGTGAGTTCGAGTCCAGCCTGGTCTACAAAGGGAGTTCTGGGACAGGCTCCAAAGCTACAGAGAAACCCTGCCTCGGGGAAAAAAAAAAAAAAAAAAGAAAAGAATTCATAAGAGGGAAGGAGAAAACTCACATGGATCCGCCTGCCTCTGCCTCTCAGTTTGCTGGGACTAAAGACTTGTGCCACTACTCTGGGGAAGAAAGTCATCTTTAATGGGAAAGGTTGATTTAGTTCAGTTTCAGAAGTTTCAGTCCATGGTTTCTTGACCCCACTGCCTGTGGCAACACAGGAGTTCATGGCAGAAACATGTAGCGGAAGAGTCTGTTAACTTCACGACAGTAGAGAGAAAGGGAAAAAGGGAGGGAGGCAGCTGGCCAAGCACTTCAGTTCTGATACGCCAATGACTTCCTCCCATCTCCCGAAGGTTCTAATACTTCCAATAGCACCATGGCCTGGGAGCCAAACCTGCCTTTTGGGGCATTCCAAATCCAAACAGTAACACTCACCAACAGGGGTCATCAAGTAGATAGCATTCCTAAGAGAGACCCTAAAATTGTTATGGCAATAGACAGCTACGATCCCAGCACTTGAGAGCATTCGGCAAGTTTGAGGTTAATCTAGGATATGTAGTTATTAGTTCAAGACCAGCCTGGACTACATAGAGACCTTGTTGCGAGAGAGACCGAGGCCCTGGCTTTGGTGCATTGTATGTGATTTATGGGTGTGCATGTACTACTAGTAAGAACGTGTGTCTTCCTCTTGTCCAGCCTCTCTTTGGTGGATACTAATCTTCCTTCTGAAGTGGAGCCAGAGCTGCGCAGTTTCATTGCTAAGCGTCTTTCCAAAGGAGCATTCTTTGAAGGGCTGGGTAATGTTGCATCTGTAGAGCTGAGGTAAGTATAAAATATGCTGTCTCCTGTGTTTTTTATTTCTGAGCCAAACATGAGAAGTGTGGAGAAACTTGAAAAGATGTAGACCTGCAGAAAACATCTTTGCTTTCTGTTTTCCAGCACTTCCTCCTCTCCTGCTCCCAGCCAGAATGATGACTCTCACACATAAACATGGCGAAGTTAGATTGAGTGAGATTCTGGCACCTCGATGTACTTTAGTCTTGTTTTATATTTAGACAACAGATTCCAGGGCTGGAGATGTAGCCCTGATATAGAGAACTTACCTAGCATGTAAGTGCTCTGTCCCTTAGTGTCTTTTTTTTTTTTCAATAATTTACTTTTATTTTATGTACATGGTGCATTGCCTGCATGTGTGTCTGTGTGAGGGATTGGATCCCCTGGAACTGGAGTTTACAAACAGTTGTGAGCTGCCATTTGGGTGCTGGGAATTGAACCTCTGTTCTCTGGAAGAGCAACTATTGTTCCCAACTGCTGAGCCATCTCTCCAGCCCCCCTTAGTGTCATTTTAAAAAGTTAATTGCCAATGTAGAAACTGTATGCCTATAGTTGGTAACATAGTTTCACAAATGCTGATGTAGTTCTTCTTACAAAGGGAAATAGGAAAGTGATCTTATTTTCCAGTGAACAAGTAAACACAGAGAACCAGAATTGGAAGGCCAAGGTCAGGTCACAGGCACCCTGAGCCTGACCCCAGCTGTCCTGTCATCGCACTCCTTTAGACTGCGCATTTTTTAAACATAGGTCCTCATACCGGTGGTCCAAGGTAAAGCTACTAGAAAAGCCAGGCACATCAGCATAGAACATCCGTGACGTGTGAAAGTTTAAAGGACGGAGAACATGCTAATTTTATGTAAACATGAGTATTCTGTGAACAAAGTTGACCTTTGTATGAATTTTTCTTTAAACACTTTTTTTTTTTTTTTTTTGGTTTTTCGAGACAGGGTTTCTCTGTAGCTTTGGTGCCCGTTGCGGAACAAGCCTTGTAGACCAGGCTGGCCTCGAACTCCCAGAGATCCGCCTGCCTCTGCCTCCAGAGTGCTGGGATTAAAGGCGTGCGCCATCACCACCCGGCCTTTTAAACACTTTTAAAATTATTTTATTTTCTGTGTATTGTTGGTGGATCTACCTGCATAAGTGTCTGTGTACAAGGTGTGTGCCGGGTGCCTGCAGAGCCCAGAAGAGGGTGTTGGATCCCCTGGAGCTAGATATGTTTGTGAGCCACTATGTGCTGGAAATTGAACCTGGGTCTTTTAGAAGAGTAGCCAATGCTTTTTTAACTGCTTAGCCATCTCTCCAGCTCCTAGGTTTTTCACATAAGACTGCAGAATTCAATGAACCTCTATGAGAGGCTGGTTTGTTAAAGTCTCACCATGTAACCTGACTGGTCTGGGGCTCACCATGTAGACCAGGTTGTTTTTGAACTCACAGAGATCTGCCTGTCTCTGCCTCGTGGTGCAGGGTTGTAGTGCATCACCACACCCAGTCTCTACGGTGTTTAATAAACTTCACTGGTGTGCAGACACGCTCCTCTGCTGAGATGAGGGGAACGAGGCTGGGAATCGCTGCATGAGTGGGATCTCAGACCCAGGTTCAGAGCTGTCACAGAGGGAGGAGCATGAGTACCAGATATGCCACTTTTCCCTTTTCTTTCTTTTCTAGAATTCCCGGTTACCGGGTTGGTTGTTACTACCGCCTTTTCCAACAGGAAAAACTGCTTCCTGAAATAGCAGCAGTGGAACCGGAATTTAACCCTTCTGAGTATGTGGTCTGCTTCTTAGGAGGGTCTGAAAAAGGACTGGAGCTATATCCTTTCTTTAGTATTTAAGAGTATCGGGAGGGAAAACATCGGGGGAAGGGGCTAGTAGCTACCTCCCTGCTCTCACCTTCCCCACCCTTAAGGGTGTGTCTGAATGTCATTTAGGACCATTTGCCCAGGCTTGTTTTAATCCAGTTTGTAGTATTTAAAAGACCTTCTCTCTCTCTCTCTCTCTCTCTCTCTCTCTCTCTCTCTCTCTCTCTCTCTCTCTCTTTGAGACAAGTACTCACTTTGTAGTCTTGTAGTTCTGACTGGCATGGAGCTCACTATGTAGGCCATTCTCGTCTCAAACTTAAAAAGACCCACTTGCTTCTGACACTGAGCGCTGGAATTAAAAGCTTGTACCACCATGCCCAGCTGAGACCTTGTATTTTTCTTTCTTTCTTTCTTTTGAAACAGGGTTTCTCTGTAGCTTTGGAGCCTGTGCTGGAACTTGCTCTGTAGACCAGGTTGGCCCTGAACTCACAGAGATCTGCCTGCCTCTGCCTTCCGAGAGCTGGGATTAAAGGTGTGTGCAACTACCGCCTGGCTCTTTTCTTTTCGATTTTATCTACTATGTATACAGTGTTCTGCCTGCATCAGAAGAGGGCAGCAGATATCATTATAGATGGTTGTGAACCACCATGTGGTTGCTGGGAATCGAACTTAGGACCTCTGGAAGAATATAGTCTGTGCTTTATACTTCTGAGCCATCTCTCCAGCACTTTCTTTCTTTCTTTCTTTCTTTTTTTTTTGACTCAGGGTTTCTTTGTTTCTTTGTGTATCCCTGCCTGTCCTGAAATTTGCTCTGTAGACCAGGCTGGCCTTGAACTCAGAGATCTTGCCTTTGACTCCCAAGTGATGGTATTAAAATATTAAAGGCCTGTGCCATCAATGCCCAGCAACCTTGTATTTCTTGTTGAGAGGTAAGATACTGATTGATCATTCTATATCACTTCCTTAAGAACATACTTTCAGGCTTGAATTGGACAAGTATATTCAAGGGCTGAAAAATAACATGAACTGCAAGGTAAGATGGCTGACCAGAGCACTGAAGACGAAAGTGATGAACACACCAGGACTGCTGTACTTGTCGGGTCACTCAGTGGCTCACCATGTGGGCAGTGGATAAGTGCTATGGGCGTAGGCAGGGAGGCGGCTGTGTCCTAGGTGCTGAAGGCTTCAGGATTCTGTTTCTGATGTGTCGCGTTGATGAAAACATCAATGTTGAGTCTTACTCTGGGAATCCACCCCTGTCATCTCAGCACTTGGGAGGCAGAGTGTGAGGCAAGCCTAGTTTACATAGTGAGTTCCAAGCCAGCCAGAGCTACATAGTGGACCCTCTCAGAAGGAAAACAGGGAACTGAAAGAATGGTCAGTGGTTAAAACACTGTTTACTATTCCAGAGGACCCAGGTTCAATTCCCAGTACCCTCATGGTGGCTCACAACCATCTGTAGCTCTAGTTCCAGGAAATCAGACACCATCCTCTGGCCTCTGCAGTCACTATGCACATGTGATATGCAGACATACATGCCTGCAAAACCCCATACTCCTAAAATAAAGTAAATTAAAAAATCAAGAACAGCTGGTGAGGGGGTTCAAAGGTAGATGTGCCTGCCACCAAGTCTGACTATCTGAGTTTGATATGCAAGACTCCACTGAGGAAAGAAAACTGACTTACATGTATTGTTCTCCAACCTCCACATATGTATGGCACATGCACACACATACACACAGAAATGTAAAAACAAAGACAAATCTGTGCAAAGTTCAGTGGCGGCTAATAGCACCTGGTGGGAAGAAGAGGCCTTGTCTCTCATTTCTAGGCACATGGTTCTGTATTTTGGTTAGCAGCTTATGGCATCAGAGGTATGCTCCTCCGCACTCTACAGATAGCAAGTTTTAAAAACATTCCATTTTTATTACTCTTTCATGAATTAGACATGTCTATATTGACTCATTTATTCAAACCTGTCAAAACTGCTTTCAGGCAAGGCAGTGGTGGTGCACACCTTTAATCCCTGCACTGAGTAGACAGACAGGAGGATCTTTTGATTTCCAGGCCAGAAAAGGCTACACTCACTGTTTTTTGTCTTGAAAAACCAAAATCAAAAAAACAAAAACAAACAACAGCAACAGAAAAAAAAAAAAACACAGGAAAGAATGGCCAAGGGCTGGAGAGATGGCTCAGTGGTTAAGAGCACTGGCTGCTCTTCCAGTGGTCCTGAGTTCAATTCCCAGCAAACACATGGCAGCTCACCCTGTCTGTAACTCACAACCATCTGTAATGAGATCTGGCGCCCTCTTCTGGCGTGTGGGCATACATGGAGGCAGAATGTTGTATACATAATAAATAAATCTTTTTTTTTCAAAATATGTATTAATTTATTATGTATACAATATTCTGTCTGTGTGTATGCCTGCAGACCCCATTACAGGTGGTTGTGAGCCACCATGTGGTTGCCGGGAACTGAACTCAGGACCTCTGGAAGAGCAGACAATGCTCTTAACCTCTGAGCCATCTCTCCAGCCCATAAATAAATAAATCTAAAAAATTAAAAAAAAAAAAAAGAATGGCCGGCTTGTCAGCACATACCTATAATCTATGTTCAAGACTGGCCTGTATTACATGGCTGCAACCATATCTCAAAAACAAACAAACGGAAAAGGTACCTATCCTAGCTCTTGTTGTCCAGCCATTAGGAGGGCCAGAGTGCAGCTCCCAACTGAAAGTCCTGCTACTCATCACCGCCTGTAACTCCAGTTCCGGAGGGAGGATGCAACGCCCTTTCACGACTCTGGAGGCTTCCACCAGAATACACATATACACATACAAACAAAAACAGAATTTAAAATTGTACTGAAGAAAGCTAAGAAGGTGGCTTTGAGGACCTGAGTTTGGACCCCCAGTGCCCACAGAAAAATCTGGGTGTGGTGACATGCCTCTGTAAGCCCAGTGCTGAAGTGGTGGGGGACAAGCAGATCCCTGTACCTCATTAGCCAGCCATCCCAGCCAAATCAGTGAGCTCCAGGTTCAGTGAAAGACCCTGGCTCAAGAAAATAAGTTGGAGAAGTTGGAGAGGAGGTACCTGCCAAGACTGCTGACCTGAGTTTATCTCCAGCACCCAAGGGTTGAAGGCCAGAGCTGACTTCTACAAGTTGTCCTCTGATCTAAACAGAAACTGTGGCACACTTGTGTCAACTACCATCAGCCCACCTCCAAAAATGCAGTTGAAAATATTAAGGTGGCAAGCAATTGAGGAAGACACCTGATGTCAACTCTGAGCCTTCACAGGCACGCAAATACATATATCATGCATACAGAGAAAGAGTATATAGAGCCGAGTGATGGTGGCTCACGCCTTTAATTCCCACACTCGGGAGGCAGAGGCAGGATCTCTAAAAGCTAGTCCAGAACAGCTAGGATTGTTACACAGAAAAACCCTGTCTCAAAAAAACAAAAGCAAACAAAAAAAGAGTATATTGAAGACAAAAGTCCACTAAGCTAAAGATTTTTATGATATTAAAGCAAACAACATTCTCTCTCAACATAGGAAAGCAGCGTGGGATGTGATGTCAGGTCCTATCTGCACAGCTGGTATGAGGATGTGGTGTGTCCAATCCAAAGGGTGGTTCTTCTCTTTCAGGAAAAGCTGACCTTTCTGCTGCATGCTGTAAGTATTGCACACAAAGACCATCCTGGGTAGACTCTTCTCAGCAGACCTGGATCATTTAGAAACATACTCATTTTCTCTAAACATAGCTTTTCTCTGCCTGAATATTTCTTCAGACAATGCTTGCTGTTTAGACCACATCTTACTGGCTCCCATCTAGAAAGTTTTATTACTAGGGTGGGGTTGAATGTCAGCTGGATCTCTCCATTAAAAACCGCTTTCACACGAGGGGTGCCAGTGCATGGCTGTTCTTCCAGCACTGGGGACAGAAGCAGGAGAAGGAGGTTAAGGTCAGTCTCAGCTACACAGTGAGTTTGACACACAGCTGATTTATGGGAGATCCTGTCCCGTTAAAAATGTCAGCTGGGCCTTCACATTTAAAAAAAAAAAAAAAAAGTAATAATTTTTTCTTCTTAGCCACTTTTTTAAAAATAGGGCCTCACCAGGTAGTGGTGGCACACACCTTTAATCCCAGGCAGAGGCAGGCGGATCTCTAAATTCAGGAGCAGCCAAGGATATGCAGGAAAACACTGTCTCAAAAAAAAAAAAACCCAAAAATTAATAAAAAGCAAAAAAAGATAGGGCTTAACTGTTCAGCCCAGGATGGCTTACCTTTTTTTTTTTTTTTAGAAAAGACTTAAATGATCGTGTGTGTGTATGTGTGTAGAGACAGAGGACAACTTTTGTGAGCTCTCATCTTCAGTCTAGTTTCTGTGTGGTATACTAGCAGGCTGGCCCTCGAGCTTTCTGCTGATCATCTCGTATCTGCCTCCCATGTCACCGTGGGAGTGCTGGGACGTGCATGCCCCAGATCCGGCTCTCGTGGGTTCTGAGGGTTGCACTGAGGCAGTCTGGCTGCAACAGCTAAGCACTTTTACTCAGCTGAGTCACTTCCGGCTCTGACTCCAACTCTTCAATCTTACATGCCTCAGCTTCTTGAGATTATGGACCTGCCCAACCACATCTGTCTGAAATAATTACTGTTTGAAATGCTGGGAAACAGGTGCCATTTTCAGAATATCTGAAAATGAAAGCAAGATGCAAAGTAATTTTAACTATACGAAAGTGTTTGGGCCCTGCACAAGCATGATGACCTGCATTCAATCCCCAGATTCCACAAGATGGCAGGAGAGAACCAAATCCCAAAACTGTCCTGACTTCCACATGCACTCCTTGACACTTTTATACACACGAACACGTGTATACACACACACACACACACACACACACACAATAAATAGATAGATTTGGGGGCCAGTGTAATAGCTAAGGGCATTTGCTGCCAAGCCTGACAACCTGAGTTCAATCCCTGGAACCTTCAGGAGAGTACTGATACCTGCAAATTGACCTCTGACCTCCACATAAGTGCCATGGCATGCGTAAAGCCCCCATTGAGATAAATAAGCGAGTAAATAAATGCTGGAAAATGTTAAAGTGGTGACACATGTAATTTTAAAGACGCCATGAAGAAGTCACGCTGCCATGGTAGAAAAGAGAGAGAGGGAGGGAGAGACAAGGGAGGTGGGCAGGCCTACCTTTTAAAAGGGAGCGTAGTGAATGTGCTCAGGAGGTGCTCTTAGTAGCTGCAGGTGAGGACTGTCCTCTCAGGATCCCAAGGGCAGGCCAGTGCAGATGCCTGAATACTAACACCTAACACTAGAGAAACTGAGGTTGGAGGATCAGGAAGTGCAGGCTAGCTATGCTGCAAGGCAAGACTATCTTAAAATAAACCATACTAATAAATAAAAATTAAAACAAATGAAAACAAGCCAGGCTATGATGTTGCACGCCTCTAATTCCAGCACTTGGGGGGATCTCCGTGAGTTGGAGGCCAGCCTGGTCTATAGAGTAAGTTCCAGGACAGTTCCAGTGCTACACAGAGAAAGCCTGTTTCTCAAAGTCAAATCAAACAAAGAAATAAGTCAAACATTACTGAGCAGGGCTTTAGCTTAGAGCACTTGTGTAGGGTGTACGAGGTCCTGGGCTTAATCTGCAGCAGGGGAAAACCTTCCCTTCAGATGTTTCCAGCAGGTGCTGAGCACAAGGTGCGGTGGGCAGTGTTCTTTAATAACCATGGCAGACAGACGACCATGGCATTTGGATGGAGTGGTGGTCAGTGAGGAACAGAGGAGGCATGTATCAAACTGGCTCCCTCTCCCTCTCTCTCACAGGCTCTAAGTTATACTCCTGTTGAGCTTAAAGAATCAGATGAAAAAACAAAGAGAGACATTAACAGGTAAAGAACAATAATTTCTGAAGAAATCCTGCCCTCCCCCAAGCCAAACGGCTACATTTTTACCTCCCACCCCTAGTATAGAATGCATTTGTTTTCTCCTGTTCTGCAATGCTGTTGATGGAAAAGGACTTGTGTATATGACAGGTTTCTGAGTGTGGCCAGTCTCCAAGGACTTATTCATGAAGGCACCATGACCTCTTTGTGCATGGCCATGACAGAGGAGCAGCACAAGGCTGTGATCATCGACTGTAGTGGGCCCCAGCCGCAGTTCCACAATGCAGGTGAGTCAGAAACCTAGAGGCAGCGTTTGTGGGACTCCTGCACTGAAAACACGTGACACAGACATGTCCTTGTGCTGAACTAAGCTTGCTGAAACCTTAATGATCCTGGAGACATGGGATTCAATTCATGCCTGTAGTCCACTCTGCATATTAAAATCACGTGTGTACATATAAGAAAACTCATATCTGTGTACACAGGAACAAATCCAAAAATGCTCAGAAAGGCATATTTACATTTTTTTACTTTGAGATAGGTTCTCACTGTATAGTCCAGGTTGGCCTTGAGCTGACAATCCCCCTGCCTGGCTCTCCTAGGATTACAGTTGTGCTTTATATAAAGACTTTTTTTTTGTTTGGTTAGTTGACTGCTTTTGAGAAAGGGTCTCATGTAGGCTATACGGGCCTTAAACTTCTAAACCTTCTACCTCCACCTCTCAGATGCTGAGATTATAGATGCGCATTACCCTCCACCTCTCAGATGCTGAGGTTACAGATGCGCATTACCCTCCACCTCTCAGAGGCTGATTACAGATGTGCATTACCCTCCACCTCTCAGAGGCTGATTACAGATGCGCATTACCCTCCACCTCTCAGATGCTGAGATTATAGATGCGCATTACCCTCCCTAGTTTGCAGACATTTTCTTGTTTTTGGATTTTTTTTTTTCCAAGACAGTTTTTCTGTGTAGTCCTGACTGTCCAGGGACTCACTATGTAGACCAGGCTGGCCTTGAACTCAGAGATCTACCTGCCTCTGCCTCCTCAGTGCTGGGATTAAAGCCATGCACCACCACTGCCTGGCATTAAAGACATTTTCTTAAAATCATTTTGTTTTGTTTTGTTTTTTTGAGACAGGGTTTCTCTATGTAACAGCTCTGGTTGTCCTAGAACTTGTTTTGTAGAGCAGACTGGCCCCAACTCAGAAATGCATCTGCCTCTGCCTCCCAAGTGCTGGGATTAAAGCCATGTGCCACCACACCTGGCCAAGAAAATCTTTTGAGTGTGTCTGTGAGTGCAGGTACGCGTGTGCCCCAGCACACATATGGGAGTCACAGGACAACACTGGGTGTCAGTCTTCACGAAAGGGGGTAGTTCTTTTTTCCTTTCTTTGTGTGCGTGTGGTTTTTGTTTTGTTTTGTTTGTTTTTGAGACAGGTTTCCCTGTAGCTTTGAAGCCTGTCCTAGAATTCACTTTGTAGACAGGGCTGGCTGGTCTCGAACTCAGAGATCCGCCTGCCTTTACCTGCTGAGTGCGGGGATTAAAGGTGTGTACCACCACCGCCTGACAGGAGGTCGTTTTTTGTTGGCTCCTCTATCTGTCAGTCCAGCTGACCCCCAAGGGTTTAGGGGTTTTCCTGTCTCCATCTCAACATAGGAACAGTGGGACTTGAGATACACCCTTCAGCATCTGGCTTCACGTGGGTGCTGAGACGGTCTCAGGGCCTCGTGCTTTATCCACCAAGCCACCTCCCCATCCCTGAAGACATTTAAAAACATTTATTTATTTATTGTTTTTTTTTTTTTCAAGACAGGGTTTCACTGTATAGCCCCAGCTGTGTTAGAACTTGCTCTGTAGACCATGCTTGCCTCAAATTCATAGAGATCCACCTTCCTCTGCTTCCTGAGTGCTGGGATTAAAGTTGTGTGCCAACACACCTGGCTTCTCAAGGCATTTTTTGATAAAACAAATTGGAAGCAACTTAAATGTTTAACAAGAAGAAATCAGTAAATTGCTAATTCACAGATTGGAATTTAGAGTGGCTAAAATCAAACTAGAGATACATGTTAATGTCTCTGAATCATACTGTTCAGTGAAACAGCCGCTAAGAAAAACACACAGCGTCAACATATAGAAAGCAATACATATAAAAGGTAAAGGTGGCTAGCCAAAGCTTCAAGTATATATTAGGAATGAGAGTTCTTTCCGGTGGGAATAGAGAGAAGAGTAATGATGGGGCTTCGGCTGCTTGGGTATTTTCCTACCATGTGGTAAGCATAACTATTTTTGAAGTCACAAGAGAAGTTTTAAATAATTATAAATTCATGTGCCAGGCAATGGTGGTTCATGCCTTTAATCCCAGAACTGGGGAGACAGAGGCGGCAGGTGGATCTGTGTGAGTTCAAGGCCAGCCTGGTCTACAAAATGAATTCCAGGACAGCCAAAGCTGTTACATAGAGAAACGTTGCCTCAAAAATAAATAAATGAATAGGAAGAAGAAAAAAAAAGAGAGGAAAGAAAAGAAATTCATTTGCTAGAACTGTGGTTAATAGCAGGTGCTGTTTTTTTCAGAGGTGTTAGGTTCCCAGCACCCATGTCGGGGGACCCAACACTTTAGGTCTCCTAGGGCACCTGTATTCATATGCACACATACACACACAATTAAAATAATAAAAGTAAAATCTTTAAAACTGGCATACATGTGCTTTATGTTATTTAATTTTATTTCCTCTTGTTTAGGAAGCAACCGTTTTTGTGAGGACTGGATGCAGGCTTTCCTACATGGTGCTGAAGCGGGGAACCCTTTCCTTTTCAGACAAGTCCTGGAGAACTTTAAACTAAAGGTAATGAACTGGCTGTGTGCCAGGGGCCATGCACAGTGTTTGCTTCTGCATCTGGTTACTGCAGGAGGCAGCAACAGTGCTTGGCTTCGCAGTCACAATGCTTTTTATTGGTTCTGCATCTGATTACTGCAGGAGGCAGCAGCAGTGCTTGGCTTCATAGTCACAATGCTCTTTAGATAGGGCATCCTCAGAACTCGCCTCAGAAGGCACTGCTGTCCAGCAGCATTGTGTGCATGCAATTTCATTTCCAATACTTTGTGGTGAATTGCTTGCTTATAGTTAGGGAACATCAAGCTGATAATTTGTGATGCATATACATTGCAATACACAGAAACAAATGATTTTAAATTCTGGTTGGTGAGTACTATCACCTCAGGAAATTTTTAAAGTTTTAAATTTTTTTTTTTTTTTCTTTTTGTTTTTCAAGACAGGGTTTCTCTGTCACAGTTCTGGCTGTCCTAGACCTCATTCCTTAGACCGGGCTGGCCTTGAACTCACAGAGATCACCTGCCTCAGCTCTCAAGTGCTGGGATTAAAGGCATGTGCCACCATAGCTTGACAGAAGACTTTTAAAAAGTCTTTTTAAATGTGTGATTCTGTTACACTAAAGGCAGAGGATACTAGCAATAGGAATAATGGGTGTTCTTATAAAAAGCTCAACATTAGCTGGGTGTGGTGGCGCACACCTTTAATCCCACCATTGAGAGGCAGAGGCACGTAGACCTGTGAGTTTGAGGCCAGCCTGGGTCTACAAAGTGAGTTTCAGGACAGCCAGGGCTACATAGTGAGACCTTGTCTCAAAAAAACGAAACGAAACAAAACAGTGCCACCACTGTCAACACACCCTGCGTGTTCACCTTGAGAGCAGGCATTCTTCAAGGCTCCTCATGACCTCACTAAACAGATTTAACTGGGTCATCTTTTCCTAGGCCATACAAGACACAAACAATTTGAAGAGATTTATCCGACAGGCAGAGATGAATCACTATGCTTTGTTTAAATGTTACATGTTCCTTAAGAACTGCGGCAGTGGAGATATTCTTTTGAAGATTGTTAAAGTGGAGCATGAAGAAATGCCCGAAGCCAAAAGTGTGGTGGCGGTCCTTGAAGAGTTCATGAGAGAAACACTTGACTGAGGTGTGAGCGTGACTCGGATTAGGCTGCTTGTGTGGAACTGTAGTTGTCATTGTTCACAGGATCACACTGCTCCTAAGGTGACAGGAAACACACAGGTTCTTTCTGCCTTTTGTACTTTGTTTGTTTAACTTAATTAAACACAGAAATCTGAGGATCATCTTCACAGAGTCCTAGGCAGATAATCTGTATTACAATTGTGGAATTTTGCTACCTTGTTAGTCTCATAAATTTTAAGCTTAAAACATATGCTGCCTAAAAAGCTTTGGAGGTGATTTTTGGCTTCTCAGGAGTTTACTGTAGTATTTAGCAGGTTTTCCTCCTCCTCCTCAAGACAAAAAAAAAAAAAGTTCCTCTTTCTCGATAGACCTGTGATCCTAGTGAGATGTGACCACACATGCCTATAATCTGAGCTACAGAGTAAGTTTGTGTCCGGCCTGGACTATATAGCGGTCATCACACCGATCTCCTCACACCACCATCTGTTTCAAAGACAGACCTGTTCATGCTGTGGCTGCCTGATACACACCAATGGTTGGCACGAAGGATGAAGCCACCTTATTTCAAGCCAATCTGCAAATAAATCATGAGTGTATAAGAATTTAAAAGTGAGGGGCTGGAGAGATGGCTCAGTAGTTAAGAGGACTGGCTGTTCTTCCAGAGGTCTTGAGTTCAATTCCCAGCTACCACATGGTGGCTCACAACCATCTGTAATGAGATCTGGCGTCCTCCTCTGGCGTGCGGGCATACATGGAGGCAGAATGTTGTATACATAATAAATAAATAAATCTTAAAAAAAAATAAAGAATTTAAAAGTGAGCCGGGCAGTGGTGGCACACACATGCCTTTAATGCCAGTACTTGGGAGGCAGAAACAGGTGGATCTCAGTAGTTCGAGGCTAGCCTGGTCTACAAAGTGAGTTCCAGGACTATTACACAGAGAACCCCTATTTAAAAAAATAAAAATAAAGGAATTTAAAACTGAGCTGGGTGATGGTGATGTCTTTAGTCCTAGCACTTGGGAGGCAGAGGCAGGCAGATCTCTGTGTGTTTGAAGTCAGCAAGTTCCAGGATAGCTGGGGATACACAGAAAAACCTTGCTTTAAAAAAACCAAAACAAAACAAAAATTTTAAAATGAGCTTTATATTATATAATACATACTTTTGGGCTGAGAAGATGGCTCAGAAGGCAAAGACGCCTGACACCCAATCTGACACCCTATGTTCAATCTTCAGGACCCACACAGTAGGAAAGGATCAACTCCAACAAGTTCCCTCTGACTCCTCTCCCCCCCCACATGTACATACAATAAATATAATAAATGGGGGACTGTTGCTTTGGAAAAGACCCAGATTTGATTCCCAGCACCTACAACCATCTGTAGCTTCAATTCCAGGAGATTTGATAGCATGCTCTGACTTCCTCAGGCATCAGACACAAATGTAATATACAGACCTACACGCAGGTAAAATACTTAGAAACATAAAATAATTAATCTAAAACCAGAAGAATAAAAGAAATGGGTGTATTAGCTTTAATATGAAGCATTCTCTCAGATGAAAAGCTATTGCACAAGTGTCTACATCATTTACAGGTAGTTATTTGCCAGGAGCCTGCATCTCCCCCCCCCCTTTTTTTTTAGGTGAAAATGCTGGGGTTTTTAAACAGTATTAAGGAAAAAAAATAGTAAACACAATAAATATCCTTTACAAGCAAATATAAGAATGCAAACTGGGGGCTGGAGAGATGGCTCAGTGGTTAAGAGCACAGGCTGCTCTTCCTGAGGGCCTGAGTTCAATTCCCAGCAACCACATGTTGGCTCATAATCATCTGTAAAGAGGTCTGGTGCCCTCTTCTGGCCTTCAGGCACACACAGAGAAAGAACATTGTATACATAATAAATAAATGACTTTAAAAAAAAATGCAAACTGGAAGCCAGGTGTGGTGATGCATGCCTTTGAATGCAACACTCCACAAGCCAGAGGTAGTTGGAGCTCTGTGAGTTCAGGGCCAGCCTGATTTACTGATTTACATAGCATAGTTTCAGGTCAGCTGGGTCTATATAATATAGTGAGACCCTGTCTCAATAAATAAGCAAATAAAGAATATTTAAAAAATTAAAAAATGCAAACCAATTCTTCCTATCACAATTGTTTATTGATCTTAGTTTGGTCCTGTGTCACAAGCCTTGGATTGTTTTACTCTGGATCAGTGCCCTGGGGTGGCCATTTCTAAATCCCCATGGATGCCAGCTGCAGCCACACACAGAGTTGTTCTGCACAGCTCTTTATTAAATCCATTTGATCATGATTTTGGTTTAGGAAATCAGAAGCCTTGTGTTCTCTCTGCCTTCAGGATGCTCAGAGGAGCAGAAGCCTGTAAAACTGAGGAACTCTTAACTGCTCGTAAACCCATTAAGAGCAGAGTTCTAACTTTCAAAGTGATCGACAGTGGCCTGCCTTCTCCTCTCCATAAGTCAGTCTAGGGATATGACTCACCACGCCCTTTCTTTTCTTTAATGAGAAATACAATGCAGGATCTTAAAAAATGCTTTCATATGGCTTTAAAGTTTAATAACTTGGATTATAGGCAGTATAGAAAAGAACCTAAGTAGCGTTTTTATAGCCGTCTGACGACTGGGTAGTCAGCAGCTCTTAGCACTTTTCTGGACTCTTCCTAATGCACGTAGTTGGCCACTTGGACGTCATTTTGTAAAAATGAGCAACAGTGGGGGCTGGAGAGATGGCTCAGTGGTTAAGAGCATTGCCTGCCCTTCCAAAGGTCCTGAGTTCAATTCCCAGCAACCACATGGTGGCTCACAACCATCTGTAATGAGGTCTGGTACCCTCTTCTGGCCTACAGAGATACACACAGACAGAATATTGTGTACATAATAAATATATAAATATTTTAAAAAATGAGCAACAGTAGGACATCAATATCTTGAGACTGTAAAATAAAAATCTTCATTTTCAAACTCACAATCAAGAGTCTGACAAATGGCATTTAAGAAATAAATGTAGGGGCTAGGGAAACAGCTCTGTGTAAAGTACTTACCGTGCAAACATGAGGACCGGAGTTCGACCCTCACAGCCCATATACAAAAGTCAAGTGTGGTAGCATGTGCTTGTAACCCTAGCACTGATGAGGCAGGAGTCCTACTGGCCAGCCTAGCCGGAGAGATAATTCAGTGGATAAAGGCCCTTGCCACCATGTCTGATGGCCTGAGACCTATCTCCAGAATCCATGTAAAGGTGGAAGGACAGAGCCGGGTGATGGTGGTGTTGTATGCCTTTAATCCCAGCACTTGGGAGGCAGAGGCAAGTAGATCTCTGTGAGTTTGAGGCCGGCCTGGTCTACAGAGCTAGTTCCAGGACAGCCAGGGCTGTTACAGAGAGAAACCCTGTTTGGAGGGTTGCGGGGAGGTGGAAGGAGAGAGAGAACCCACTCCTGCAAACTGCTCTCTGACCTCTCCACATGCATCGTTCAGAATTAATCAGTTGACAAATAGGAAAACAAAAGGGTAGATGTCGCCTGAGGATTGCTATCCCAGGGTTGGCCTCTGGCCTCCATATGTTTGTACACACAAACATATACATCAAAAATAATAAAAATAAAAGCAAATGCATCAAATCACTTGTGGATTTTAGGCAAAATATAACTTTATTTGTAGGTACTTCCTTTGCAATGTAGGCTCACTACAATATACAGTTGATTATAGTGGTCTTATGTTTAAAAAGAAGACTGTGATAAATTCTGTATCGCTATTAAAGACAAGGAGAAAAATGTCATGGAATTATCTTGCTGGTCCTGAGAGGAAAACAGCTCATGGCCAGAAAGCTGTACTGTATCCAAATTTTAATAAGTGAATGTATTAAATTGTAAAGGTTTAAAAAGTGATGTTCAGACATGGAATAAACTTGTAATTGTGTGCAACACACAGGAAATATGTTTGCCTTGTATCAAAATTGTAACTAATTTGTAATAATAATAAAACAGCTTCTAATCAATGCAGATATTTATGCCTAAATGAACTCAGTTCACACCTTTAATAATTTCCAATAAGTTTATGGGGAAATTATACTTTTTCATAACACACATCATACCCACACACATACACATATACATACACTAAGGCATGTACATACACCTATCACCTGTTGGCATGCACAAGAAAGAGGGAAACAGTTTTTATCATAATGTTTTATTTGTTGTCTAAAACAGTTTCACCTGTAGGACACAGGGCCTTTCCTCTCTCACACTCATAGAGGGTGATAGGACTAGACTCTGGAACTGAGAGGTGACAGACAGACAAAGTGGGGGTCTGTGAAGAAAAGACTCAGCAAAGACTCCAAAGTTACCCACCGCTCCTGAGTGACCTCGAGCTGATGAAATGAGATAGGTTCTTTGTAAATGTGCGTATATATCGTATGTGTGTTTTCATGTGTACGTGGAGACCAGAGGACCTTGTATATGTGGCCTGGGACTTGCCAAGTAGGCTAGGCTGGCAGGCCAGCAAGTCCCAGGGATTTGCCTCCCCGGCACTGGGGTGACAAGTGTGCACTGCATCTGGATTCTACATGGGTACTTGGGACTAGGCACAGCCACAGTGGCCAGAAATTGCCCCCCCCCCCTTTTTTGTTTTTGAGATAAGGTCTCTCTGTTCTGTAGTTCTGTAGCTCTGGCTGTCCTAGAACTCCACAAGTAGGCCAAGCTGACCTTGAACTCACAGAGATCTACCTGCCTGCACGCACCAGTACAGCCAGCCAGAGAATGCCTCCTAACATATGTATGAATTTGATTCCCTTTAAGTCCCATGCAAATATCCAGGGACCAAGAATATAAACTGTGGCTGGCAGTGGTCCTGCACGCCTTTACTCTCAGTACTCTGGAGACAGAGGCTGGTGGATCTCTGTGAGTTCAAGGCCAGCCTAGTCTACAGAGTGAGTTCCAGGACAGCCAGCACTATACACAGAGAAAACCTGTCTCAAAAAACAAAAACAAAAACAAAACCCTACCCATCCTCAATATATATAATGAACTTTTTTTTTTCTTCCCCTTTTTGAGACTGGGTTTTGAAAAGATCCGTCTGTCTCTGCCTCCCAAGTGCTGGGATTAAAGGGCTGCACCACTACCGCCCAGCCTCTGTGTAGTTTTGAAGCCTGTCCTAGAACTCACTTTGTGGACCAGGCTGGCCTTGAACTCACAGAGATCCTCCTGCCTCTGCCTCCTGAGTGCTGGGATTAAAGTGTGTGCCACCAAGGCCTGACTGTTGTTTTCAACTTTCCTGTTGTTTTCAATTTTTTTTTTTTTTTTGACTTTTCAAGACAGGGTTTCTCTGTAGCTTTGGAGCCTGTAACTAGCTCTTGTAGACCAGGCTGGCCTTGAACTCACAGAGATCCACCTGCCTCTGCCTCCCGAGTGCTGGGATTAAAGGCGTGTGCTACCAGCGCCCAGCTGTTTTCAATTTTTAAAATTATCATTGATAAACATTTTAGTAAATTATTTAAAGAACAGGAATTTGTCAGGAAGGAAGAAACAGAAAAGTAAAGGGAAATGGGAGGAGGCCAAAGGCAAATCTAATTAAACAACTTTTTTACCCAAGGAGCTGCCTTGCTGCCTTGAGTTTCTGGAGCACAGGAGGCCCCAGTGGAAAGTGTTTGCAAAGAACTCAGCTCTGCACTTCCCAAGTAGCAGCGGGTGTTTAGTCAGCCTGAGCTAACTGCCCTCTTGGTTTTAGTTTGGGGATGGCTCCTACACTGTTCGGAAGCCTTTTTCAGTAATACACAGGAAATTGATGGGAAGGGCAGCGACCCCCGTTCTGCACTTACCAAGGCAGTTCAATACTTCAGTGTCAGTAGTTAACTGGGAAGCTACAGAGGCCAATGCTGATCTGGAGAAGGTGGGCACACAGTTGGCTTTCCAGGCCTCATTCATGCAAAGTAACTCCGCCGTTAAACTTCTGAAGTCCCAGGCCTCACCTTGAGCATATCTGCTGCTTTCATTTCTCTGGATATGAACTTGACCATGCCCTGTTCTTCAAGATTAAGTTGTTGATGGCCCCGAGGAGGACCTAAAGACTAGGCTTGTTGAGGGCAGAGAAAGTGGTCTCTAGTCCTAAGTGAAGGTGTATTGCTGACATAGCAAGGCCATGTCAAGGACACCAGTCTCAGGGGATAGCAGTGTGCGGACATAGACAGAGAATATCCACAGCTTTTGCCCCTCCGCATGTTTACGGCCTGAAGACTGCCCCTACAGAGACTGCGCCTATCTGCGCCTCCTCATTCAGCTGAATCCAATAACCTCACTTCCCTGTTCAACAGTATATAACGAACACTCTGAGCTTATGGGGCGGGGCTGTGGCTTCTCCATCCATGACCGTGCAATCCCAGCTTTTCTGTCCTTGAGTTCATGTGTGTGCGTTTTCTTCGTTCCCTTGGCAACTGTCAATCCCTAACGCAGTGCTGAGTGAGGCACGTAGGAGAGCTGGGTGAGTGGAAGAGAAGACAGGCCTGTGGGGACACTCGGGCTGAGCTCCCTCACTACCGGCAACTACCTCCAAAACTGTCCAGGAAGCTTCCTTCATGTTATGTTATGGGAAGGACAATCAGTTTTCACCAACCACTCAGGAAAGGTTAAGGAAGACAGTGCCAATCACCAGCACCAAAACCCATCAACCCACCACTTCCAGTTCTTCCCTCCTCCCACCAGACCCAGACAAAACAGTTCCATGCAGCTCTTGTAGTCACTTCCTGAATAACCAATGGCTTTAAAAAAAAATCTTTAATGGAATCTGTGCTCAAATAATATGTTACAACAAAAATATACAGAATGTACACAATACAAAAATATTTAGAAGCCAACACTGCGGCTAGTGGATTGGTTTTCACTTACTTAGTACTTGGAGGGCAGCTCACTGTCGGGCAGTTTTTAAGGCAGAGGAGAGTCAACGCTTTGCAGCCAGCCCTGGGAAGCACACAGCACCGGGTAATCCTCATTATCGGCAAACTGAATTGGACACTCGAGGAAGATCTGGGTTCGGTGAGCAGTACCTCCACTGATGCTCTAGGCAAGAATGGTTCGCTTGGAAACAGCGTCAAAAGAGGCCCATTAGGGGGGCTTCTAATTAAAAAACGAGTGACGAATGGTGCCATTAAAGTGAAATTTCTCTTCTTTGAAGGCCTGCTTTCCCTTCCCTGGCTCCCGTGACTCCTCTCCCCTTTAAAAGCAAGCGAGTCCACATAGTTGTTTTCTGGGGATTCCCCAGCCTCTGAGGCCAACCTGCAGCCACCAGCATGAAGAGTGATAGAGTCCCGCCCTGCTGGCGGCCACACGGGAGGGGTCGGGCTGAGGGACTCAGGAGAAAGGAGACCAGCTGGGAAAAGTTGCTGGAGTGGTGAGGGGACCCAGGAGCAGTTCCCATCCTCCTGACCTTGCTCCTGCATGCTCTGCCCCTCACTTCCCAGGTCTGTGGTTCCTCAGCCTGGACTCCCAGGAGCTGAGAGTCCTGAAGCCGATATAAAGGTCATTTGTCTCACAGTCTCCACTTAGGGCTTCCAGCAGCTCCTAGTGCCAGCCTGAGCAGACTGTCTTGGAGGGGCAGAGGCACTGCGTGTCTTGCCAAACTCCTGAGGCTGCTGGGATGTGGGCAGCACAAAGCCATTCCCTCAGTCTCACTTCCAACTTCCCTCCAGGTCTAATCATCTAAGTCTACAGCTGATCTCGACCCTGGGCACTCACCCAGGCTCCCAGGAGCTCTTCTCTGGGGCAAGGTCTTCACCAAAATATCTTTTACTACAGCTTCCTTGGAGAGATGGCCATGGTATCACTGCCCTAGGTTTTCTTTCATTCCAAAGACTTTATTCTACAGGAGGCAGAACAGACATGAAGCTACCCCAGAGGGACCCAGAACACAGCTGGCATTTCCTCCCAAAGATCCTGGTGGGGTTCTGGTCTTCCCTCTAGCACGGACAATTTTTCCGCTGGTCAGTGATGCTTAGGAGGTGTGTGGGAGGGCCAGATGGGAAAGAGGGGCGTGAATTATGCAAAAAGCAAGGCCACTGAGCAAGCACACTGAGCATGCCCATTCCAGCAATCCCTTACACCCTTGAGTACAATGTCCTCCACTGCCTCCCTCTGCAGGGTCTGACTTGCCTGACATTGCACACACACTCGTGTACACACACACAACACACCCCAAAACCCTGTCTCCCCACCCAAAAGAGAGGCACAAAGTAGGGCAAGGGCAGTAGAAAGAAAGAAAAGACCCCAGAGTCCAGATGGAGCACGGATGCAGGATGATGGTGTGAGATGCCAGCATTCACAAATACAGGCAAGAAGAGGGAAAATTGGTCCTGGGCCTTTCCCAAGGGGAACCTGGGATGAACTTCAGTGCCCCAGGCACGGGCCCTCTCACAGATCCCCAGGAAAAGAATATATAGCATCTCCCGTCCTAGGGGCCATGCTATCGCACCCACTGACAGGATCTGAGCCTGGGGTGCTCTGGGCTCCCCCAGATTCAAAGCGTCTACTGCCAGAGCACCAGATCATGAGCTGCAGGGAGGACATGAATCGAGCCTCCAGTTACCTCCTGGCTGGGGAAGGCATGCCTGGCTGCGGCTGCCCTCAGAACTTCTATGTCCCAGTGTCTCTCCAGGTGAAAGACCAGGAAGAAGGCTACTTGTGGCAGTGAGAGGGGAGCACGTGGGTCAGCTACTCCCATCCTACCCCAGACTTTTCCCCCACCCCAGCTCACCTTAGGAAAACAGCAGCTGCATCCATCTCCTCCCCCACCCTTCAACACTGAAACACATACATCCCCGAGTCTCCTGCTCCCCCGGTCTCGCTGAATTGGTGATGAAAATCAGATGCAGGTACTTCCTCTGGATGCTTCTGCTTCTTCCCTTCCCTGCCTCGGTCCTCCAGTCTCTTAGGGGGGTGGTGGCAGCTTCAGGTCCAGTAGCGTATAGGCAAAGATGTTCCAGAAGACAGCAAACAGCACAAAGACGGTATAC